GGCTAGGGCCAAAATGTTGGCTTTCCTTGCGGCCTTCCTTTTTCTCTAATTTTGGTCTGCAAACTTAGGTTGTTAACCCTCCAGAAGACAAGCTTGTTGTTATTACTATACAACCTAGGCTGTTAAGCTTAACCTCACTATCTATCTGAATATCAAACATCTTAGGCATAACATGGAACAGGTATTTTTCCTTAAGTATTGATATGTTGAACTTTAAGTCCCTACAGAATGATTAAAAAAACATTTAAAAATTAGAATATATTTTTAAAAGTAGGCATAAAGAATTATATACTTCTTATGTTTACACATAAGACCAAAAATCTAACCATATACAACCTTGAAGCAGGACAGTCTCACAATATTCCTTTAGAGGAAGAATTCTTAATGCCTGCATTTGTCGCAAAAGTCACATCCAACCAGTTACCTAGATGAGTGGAGAACATGTTCAGGAGAAAGACCAAGCAGACATACTCTCTGAGAAAAAGGAACATAGAAAGGGCTCAAGAGACCTCAGCCAACAGCGGTGAGAGGCTGGGCTCCCAGGTGAGATGCAATTGCCACCAGAAGCCACCTTCCAATGCCAGGCCTGGGACTCAGTGCTTCACCTGCCTTTTCGTATTTTAGTCCTTGGAGGTAGGGCTCTGTTATCATTGCCTCCATTGTTGAAAAGAAAGACACAGAGAAGTCACCAGTGGCCTACAATTTCCACAGAATGTCATACAGAAGAGTCTGCCTGCAGAGCTCACACTCATACCTTGAGTGCATGATGTATTGTCTCTCTCTCTCTCTCTCTCTCTCTCTCTCTCTCTCTCTCTCTCTCTCTCTCTTGTTCCCTTCTCTACAAAATGGGAGTGATGAGAAGTCCTGTGGGGACTAAATATATTCAGACATCAAAAGCACTAGGAACCAGGCTTGACCAAGAGGATTTTCTTTCTATCCCTCTCACTGTTTTCTGGGCCTAAGATGTGGCTCTCCAGATCAGGAGCTATGTGAGAACCAAATGTGAGCAGTACTCTCTCCAGAGCTGTGCTCACCATGAGGTCTACATGAGTTGTGTGACCCTATGAGCTCATGCTCTTCTAGGCCTGTGCTTCCTGGGGACTCCAGGCCTGTGGGAAAGGGGAAAGGCCTACGTTACCTTACAGGCAGGATCTCTTCCTCTTGTTCTTGAGCTCTTTGTTCTTGTGTTCTTGCCCTACCCTTCTCCCCTGCTTTGTTCTCCATACACAGCCAAACTACTTCCATACCCCCCCCACCCCATTGCGTCTTATGCTCCTGCACACGAAAGTTCAGGCCTAAAGACTCCACTATGCCCACTCTTGTAGGGAGGAAAGAAAGGAAGGAAGGGGCAAGTATCTGAGATGAGAGCTGGTGTCGCTGTAGAAAGACAGATACAAGTGTCAGAGTTGGAAAGTGTGTGCTTCTGACTTCCGGCAAGGCAAACAAACTTCCCAGGTTATACTGGTGGCTAAACTAGGCCTCCACAAAAGCAAGTCACCCGATAGCATGGCACTTGTTAGTTTGTGGCACTTTCCTTGAACGACAGGGGTTTCCTATGGGAAAGCTGGAGATTCATTTGAATCCGAATCTTAGTTTTTGCAAGGAATAGTTTGTAAACATAAGGTGAAAAAGACTCTTGAGTGAGCAGAAGTGTCCCACCCAGCTGTCTACAGGAGCGCCTTCTTCTTTGCACCTAGTAGCTCTCAACTGACAGGATTTCACTCTGCCAGTTGACTCAATGATTCAACTTCACTGGACCATTCACTCCCACTTAAGGTAAAAGGCAAATGCCATGTGGCTTTGAGGAAGCCGTTCAGTGCGTCGGGGCAAGCAAGGGCACTGGTTGCAGAGCGAACTAAGGTTCCAGTCTGGTTGTCAACACTGACCGAGACAGAGCCATGAACTGTTCCTTAACCCCTCTGATCCTCAGCTGAAAAATGAAGAAAGGCCTG